TATTCTTTATTGAAAAAAAATTCCTTCAACATCGGATTCGAACGGCAAAAGGGCCTACAACACACACCAGCCGACAAATATTAACATTTATTATATTTTATGGTTAACTTTTTTCTCTCCAGGGGTGATAATTGATGCAAGCGTGATCCTGCAGAAGTTGGCGTTCATCGCACATGTTGTGTTAGGGTGGCGTGCAGCCAAGGGGTGACAGCCACTGCTGCTTTGCTTATGTAACGCTTTGCTTTGCTCTGTTTGACTTTACTTAACTTATTTTTGTTTTGTGTACTTTTATGTAGAGCAGCTTACTCGGCATTACATTTCCTGTTCATTGTATAGTACTCAAGTTTTATGGTGTATGAGCCGTATAAGAAATGGAGGGGAAAACGCGTGCAACCAATCACAGTTTTGGAAAACGCGTGCAACCAATCACAGTTTTGGAAAACACGTGCAACCAATCACAGTTTTGGAAAACGCGTGCAACCAATCACAGTTTTGGAAAACGCGTGCAACCAATCACAGTCTGTATTATTCTGCATGGAACCTTAGGAAGCAGTTGCTGGTGGACGTGAAACAGAGGTGGACGTCACATTTTTGGCACTTGGCTTTAGGTGTACCTTTGCATCCAGGTACCTTGCATCTCCCTTTCTTTTCATCCATGACCATCCAGTGGGCTGTGGTGTCCAGACGCACATCAGGGACCAGTATGGGTGTAGTGGGTCCTCTTCTCCTCTTTTCTTCATACTCCCCAGCAACTGTGGAACTGGGACGACCTCTCTTATGCTCCAGATTCTTGTCACTTTGGCATAAGCTTTCTGCAATATACAACTTGAATGTATGAAGCTTCATCTGTTCCTCTTTTCTCATCCAAGTGCTGCTGCAGTCTCGTAGAGCAGCCAGGCAGTCATGATGATCATGTCGATGAAGTGGAACATCAGCCGGTGGTCATCAGACAGGCCATCTGTTTTCAAAAGAAACCAGAAAGCATAAGATTAGAATAGGTCATATACCTCTCATCACCCACACACACGCGCGCACACGCATGTTCATTACATACAGTATGTTACTCTACTGACTGAACCCTGATCTTGTCTCCCTCAAACCTGATTCTGGGGTCCACTCTTCCTCACTGTCACTCTCCTCAAGCTCACTGTCCTCACTGTCGGTAGGAATGAGCCTAACTGCTCGATCATGTTCCTTACACCCATAAAATGTTCATGCATCAATTTCTTGTGAGTAATGTACATAGTACAGCAAAAAAAATGTACTATGGTGACAACTATGTATCCCTGCACATCTCCATCCATTAGCATGTTATTGTTCACACAAAAGTGGTCTAACTGCACAATGTTGCCCTGAGGCAACGAATGAAAAACTACCATTTTAGTATATAAATGAAGACAAAAAGTATCTTTACTCAATCAAATATTCTTCTTCACATATCCATGCACGTCACAGATATTATTTATACAAAGTTATTTAAATTTAAACATGTTAAAAAGTACAATTTATCTTACCTTCTGCTAGCAGTGTGTCCAAGCTGGCTATGGTCCCAAAAAGGACTGTTCCACCTCCAGAGGAAAGGTCAAATCCACTCCCACCTCAAATTTCATTGGTCACAGACTTATCAGGTTTTTAATGTGATTTTTACTTTAAAAACATTTAAAGGGACGATGTATGGGCCAAAATACTGGTTTGTTGCTTCAGGGCAACACCATGCCATAGAGGGTTAAAATTTTAATTTAATTTATTTTAATAAATGTGATCAGTTGTATTTTCTTTTGGGATTAAGAAAACACTATAGGCCTAAAATGAAAAAGCGTAGAAAAAAATTAGCTGGATTTGGTTTTAGGTAGAAAAACCTAAAACCATTCTACTAAAACCAAGACCAGTTGATTTTTTTTCTACGTTTTTTCAGGTTACGATGACCTGGATGACTGGGAATTTGCACGGACACTATAGGCCTATCAGCCTATGTATAACTAACACCTACACCCGCCCTGCAACAGCCTATGTGTATGATAAATACGCAATAAAAAGGAAAGTGGGTTTGGGTTTTTTACTTATAACCCCCCCCCCCCCAAAAAAACAACAAAAACAACAACACCCCTCACTAAAGTGGTCAGGTGGGGTGCGCCGAGGACGTATAGAAAAGATCGCTTCGCATTTTTACTTCCTGAAAGCGAGGTCATATAAATAAGTTGTTTTCCTTATCAGCGGTGTTCACGCCCAAGACGTACTGAAGAGACAGAAGAACTGACTGTAAGGTAGTAAAAGGAAATTACTGAAGTTTTGCAGTGATAGTTGATCAAGTAACTTTTTGTTCTAACGTGTAGGAAAGGTAAGCTAGCCTAGCTAACGTCCATTTGTAGCTAGCGTTAGACGTTAGCTTGGTAATCCTCTTCATTAACATAACGTTAACATGACAACTGGAGAGCACTGGGCGTAATCCAAACCGAAATTTTGTTAAACTTTACTTCTTATGGCAAGGTTACCCCATATTGAGTTTTTAACTGACCATTGACTGAGCTAATGCAGCATGCGTCTGGTTGGCGAAGGGCAAGCTGTCAAATGCACGCAGCCTTCAGTTTCATCGACGTTGGCTTTCCAGAAACTACGGGGTTGTTAATTTCGATATTGTTAAACGCAAAACTGCGTGACATTTCTGGAGTATTCCTGTAACGACGTTACAGTCGTAAATAGTTAATGAGTTGTGCCTTTCTGTCACATGCTAAACACGTCAGACGCCTTGTTGTATAATAAGCTACTTCAAACTTTGTAACATCTCAATGCCTCGGATATGTCCTTACATAAATTCATACCTAAACTTCGCGGCTGTTATGGCTATTGTTTTCTTTAAAGAATGCCATAACGCAGTTCAAAGTTCACATGCTGCCCCCTGAATACAATAGAGATACCAGCAAATCAATAAATAGTTGCTTAATCAGTGCTGGTAGCGTTATACTCTGTTTACAAGGCAAGTCTTGATGTATAAAGATGTGACATTGCATTATGCTGTTAATTGAATTGCTGAGAGTTTAGTTATGTACCCTCCCGAACAAAGTTTTTGTTAAATTAATACATATTTCCACTACATGGGTTATTTGCTAGGGTTGTACTATATCTGCTTATGGCATGCCTTCAGTGCAATACACAGTTGAGAATGCAGAGAAGGAGAAAATATTAAGCTATATGACAGTAATGCATTACTTTATGTTCCACCTTCTGGGAGAATATTGCAATATAATTTCCCTTAGACACCACGTACCTATGCTTAGTAAATTATTATGCCACACCTTTGTAATACTAGCTGAATGTCCTAAATATTGTTTCAGACCATTGTGTTATCCTTTGTAGTTAGCTGAATTAATAATAGCTGAGTGTCCTAAATATTGTTTCAGACCATTGTGTTATCCTTTGTCATAGTGTGTGTTGTCAGACCACCTAGAGATACATCCTTAGCAATATTAGCATATTGCAGTGTATTGAGCCTGCAGGTAACCCTGTAGTGCTCATCCTTCACATGGAATATCCAGTTCCTCCATGTGATTACAGTCTGACTGTTTCCCTTAAAGAATCATCTAAGAGCCTAGATATGCTGATCAGCTGTCTGTTACTAAACATAGAAATCAATTAATCAATTATCAGTTTTTTTTTAAGTAACTACTTTTTGACCCAGTGAAAGAACATTGACTACAGCATGTTTTCTTTCTCTTTTATCTGCAGACATTCTGTCCATCAAGTGAGCCCACTCAGCAGTTTACAGCCTGTTCAATCATGTCCAATTTCATGCAAGACACTAATTTGGAGACAGACCACTCAGTTGATTTTTCTTTAATGGACAGTCGCCTGGAGTCATTCTGTGGTTCCAGCCTGGCCCAGAAGGTGCCTGCAGAAAGACTGGCCCGGGCCGGCTTCTACTTCACTGGCTCTGGTGATCGTGTCCGTTGTTTCAGCTGCCAGAAGACTGTGGAAAACTGGCACAGGGAAGATGTGCCTGTAGTGAGGCATAAAGAGGTAGCCATGAGTAGACTCACTTTTTTTAGTTTTCAATCTTTTCTGAATACCTAAAACATACTTAACCCTCTGTTACAGGTTTCCCCATCTTGCAGGTTTCTCAGCTGCACCCACCGTACCAGTTTTAATCCAGGTTCTTTTGGTTCACTGATTAATGGTTCTGTCTACGATGAAGAAGCAGAGGACATGGAATATCGTTTGAGAACAGGAGAGGTGGTTGATGAGTCCACCTACCCTATGGCTCCTCATATGAGGAGTGAGGAGGCCCGACTGCAGACCTTCTCTCTGTGGCCATCCACTGCACCTGTGAGGCCCCGTGATCTGGCCCAAGCTGGCCTCTACTACTTGGGACAGAAGGACAGGGTGCAGTGTTTCTGCTGTGGTGGCATGCTGGGTGGCTGGGAAGCAGGTGACACTGCGTGGAGAGAACATACCAAACATTTTCCCAACTGCTTTTTTATCCTTGGGCACGATGTGGGCAACATCCCATTACAGGGGGCTACAGAGGAGATGGAGTGGGCTAGTGGACAACGTGGAAACACTCATGTCCACATGGGGAGTTTTGAGGAGAGGGTTGGTAGTTTTACAGGTGTCCAGCACCCTATTGACCATGAGAGACTTGCCAGAGCTGGCTTCTACAGCACAGGTAGAGCACAGATGCCCGACCAGTCACGGGACTAAAGAAAGCATAATTTCCAAGCTTTAAATGATTAAAATTTCCTTTGGTGTTTGATCATAGTTATGAATGTAAGCAAGTCTAAAAATTGTGTGTCCTTGTAGGGACGGGAGACAAGGTATTGTGTTTTCACTGTGGTGGAGGTTTGAAAGGCTGGCAGCCTGAGGAAGACCCTTGGGAAGAACATGCCAGACACTACCCTGGGTAAGAATAACATGTTCACTCTTTTGTACTGCATTACTGTACTGTTTTATACAGAAAGGTGTTTTGGTTATTTCTCGCTGATATAAACGGAGTGGACAAAATAACAAACACCTGTCAGTATAACACATTACAATTCAAAAGCGGCACATCTACCAAAATAAACATAGAATTAAATCAGCACTTTTCTAAAACACATTGAACAGAAACTGAACATCACCTTCATGCAGGGAGAACTTATTGCAGGACTATTGTATTAGTTTTAGCTTGGTGTACCTAACAAATCATTCAAATACACACAGGTCCTTTTGCTGTGGCATTTGCTATGTATTTTATTTTAATTAATTGATTAATTAATTAATTTAAATCAGATGAGCATTCCTGTTAACAGAAAAAGGACAAGGATTTGTCAACAGCATCCAGCTACAAGATCCACGAGGAAATAGACCTGTAAGCATTCACTGTTTTTACATGCACTTAAGTAATCGGGTTGTTGCTGACTTTGTGAAGCAATCTGATTTTATAACTTTCATCTTAACAAAACTGATTTACTTAATAAGCGCTTAGAGAAACCTGGTGAACATCTGATTTTTGGCCATTGACATGCTTAACCTGATTTCTAATTGTGTCTTTACATGTAGCACATGTGCATGATAAACACCCAGAATAGCAAAAGTACCACTGTGACACAAGTGTGTTGGGGTCAAAGGAAGTATCAGTACTTAAGGTGGTACTATGCATCTTGTATCCAAAATATGGCTGAAACTGAAATGAATTTTAAAATATCAGTTTTCCACGCGTGGACTTTTTAATGTTGTTTGAAATGCACAGTAAGAAAAATCAATTGCAGTTTTTGTTTTAAAAAAGAAAAGAAAAAAATGGTGAGTGGGTGAAAAATCCAACTCGCACTGGCTTTTTTAACAGTGGTTTTTAGAACCATCTGCTTATTGCAGTGGATAAATATTTTCAGATAAATCTGCCTTAGTCCAGTTTCCCTCAGTGGCCTGTTTCCCTTTTGTGTATGTAAACATAGCTCATCTGATTCACATCTTCATGCAACTTAATTGCTGTAATGCACAGTCTTGTGGCATATATATACATTTTATAATTTTCCTTTCTGACTGGAAAAATTAGAACTAGTGCAGTACACTTTGTTTTCTGGGCAAAAATACTTCCTTGGGATGTGTGAAAGGTGTTGTAGTCCTGTACTCTTGTCTCTAGTGATGCCACTCAGACTTTAGTTTTACTTGCATTATACAGAAAATAAATATGTCCCTGTTTGTTTCTAGACCTCAAGTCATCAGAATGGATTTTCAGGAAATAGAAATGGTAAATATTAGAATAAAAATAATTTAACATACATTACTTGAAAATGACAAGAAATATGAATATCTGTAACATATTGACATAGTTTAACATAAGTACTGTAGTTGTGTACACTGATGTTTCCACTTTGTGTTCAGAGGTACTGCAGTCTGCCATGGCTCAGAAAGCCATAGGGATGGGTGTAGAGCCCAGCGTGGTGGAGAAGACCATCTTGGAGAAGATCAGTAAGACGGGCTCAAGCTACTCCAGCCTGGAAGCGCTTGTGGAGGATTGCCATAACAACACACCAGAGAGTGATGCTATCGGTACAAGTGAGCAAGATACTGCCTCCTGTATACTAAACCAGGTTCAAAACATTGAAGGATAATGCCAGTCATTTTCTGTATTGATAGTATTTTCAGCAGCCTCCATATAGAGGCTAAAACAGGCAAAGATTCGCCTCTACTCACAGTTAATGTCTGTCAGCTGTCAGTCTTGGATTAGCTTCTTTGTTGTTGTTCAAAAAGAATTAAAAACTAGTACTAGGTAACGTGTTCTTTTTGTAATGAAACACCAGGCCATTACTAATCCAAGACTGACAGCTGACAGACATTAACTGTGAGTAGAGGCGAATCATTGTAAGTTTTAGCCTCTGTATGGAGATTGCTGAAAATACTATTAATATAGAAAATGACTGGGCTTATTCTTTTCCAGCCACCAGTGTTGATTACATAGAGCAAAGCCTGAGCAGCAGTTATTTCTATATACAGTATGAGCAAATGCATTCTGATCTGTTTTTTGCTTTATCTGTCAGATAAGGACCCATTGGAGAAACTACAGACGCTGCAGCGGGAAAAACAGTGTAAAATATGTATGGACAGAGATATTGGTATTGTCTTCATTCCATGTGGTCATTTGGTCACTTGTGAGGAGTGTTCAAAGTCGCTCATTAAGTGTCCAATCTGCTGTGGAGCAATAAAGCAGAAGATCAAGACCTATATGGCTTAAAGGAATCCCAGTCTTGCCAACTTCAATGCTGCTTTCTTACTATCTTTATGATATTGTATTTTAATAATAAATGTAGATAGCTCATTATATATTTAAGGACCATTTTCATTGTATGAGAATGAGTAAAGAAAATATTTGACAACACTATAATACGCAGAAGAGACTGTATAATTAGCTGATGTTGATTCTGGACTACTGACACCTGTAAATAATACTAAGTGCAATTTCCTTTTTGCACACTTTCTTGCCAGAGGTGCCTTTTTTTTTTAATTTAGCACAATCACACTAGTCATGGGATGTAATCATTTAATATCATACAGTTATAATAGTAATTTTGCCCAGTGTACTCAGTGTTTTACTTTTATTTTCCTTCAGTGTGTGCTGTTCTGCATTTATAAAGGTAAATCCATTGAAACCTTGCATTATAACTGACTTTAGGGCCTGTAATTAATCATTGTGGTGCGAAATTATTTTACCATTCCATTATGGTAACTGTTGTGTCATCAGGAGTGAATAAATTTTAATAAATTGACTTGAAATGTTTTTTTCTTTGGTGACCTTACATTTTGCAATTAGTAATCTTTACCTTTTTAAGCTTTAGTAATTGCAAAAATTGTTGCAGCAGCTCGCAGGCAGTATCTTAAAGAATACTCTGCATAGATAGGTAAATGGAAACAAACTGTCATGTACCAGCCAGTCATTCAATTATCTGCTTTAACCTGGAAGACAAGAAAATTGATTAATGGTTCAGAGTTTTGTTTTATATGTGTGTATGTAATAGTCACATGGATTATCTTATTAAACATAATTCACTGGAGCTTCTATATTATTCCCACAAAATTTGTAGGCTACATCGTTCACCTTTTTTGTTGGTGGGGTTACCTTGTACTGCAGACCTATGTAGCCTCTGTGTAAAGGTGTATATAGGCTACCTAATAACACATAGGCTATTATTCCCAAATAGTTCATCAGAGATGACAGATGGACTCGTACCTCTTATGAACTCATGTTAGAGTTGAACTTATATAGGTTATAGTCTAAACAGCATTTTCCACAAATAGAAACTTACTAAATTAAACCCCACAGTCGTTCATCTATACAGGTTTGTCTATGATGTATTTGTATGAACAGTTTAAAATGACAAACTATACTATAGGCTATAGCTAAAGACACTATTATTGTTTTTGGTAGCCTAAGAGTTTATATATATCATATGAGAAGAAGCTGAAGAGTAGCTGTAAGCTATGGGAAATCGTTTCTTCTCTTGTTCTAAAGTAATGGGGATTTGATCAGCTGAAGCCAGGATTTTACTGAAATAAATCATTTAGATTTCTGTACTTAATTTTGTTTCTCTTTTACGTTTCCTGCAACAGCGGGTAAATAAATACAAAACAATAACCTTATTCCTAATGAAGCGGCAGCATGAAAGATGTAGTACTAGTTAGTCGCCACTAGATGTCCGTTCATCGTTGGGGTATCTACGTGTATTGTGGCCACTAGGTGGTAGCTCTGCACCAGGATTTTCTCCTCCCAGGTCGTCGAAACAACAAACCGAACTACGGAGCAAGCGGGGTGAGCGAACGTCCGAAACCGCCTGTGACCGCGACTTTTAAACTCTTTTATTTACCAAATTGTAGTGGGATTCAGACAGAAGCTGTTTAAGAATAGTAAAAGTTACGATTCTGCTGGGACTATATTTTATAACAAGGTAAGTTAGCTGTAAAATGGCGGAGAGCTATCTGGAAGTTAGTTGATTTGTATTTTGCTAGCCAGGCTAGCCGTAGATGAGCCCAGAGCGCGGATGTCTGCTTGAACCAAGTCGGTTTGCTAGCTCGCGCTACATAGCTAAGCTACTTCGGTTGTTAGCAAGCTAGCGAATTGGATTTTTGGCACACCTGCTCAAAAAAATTGGCCCGTAACCGAAAGATGCATTTATTGTTTCAAGTAACTTAGCTGCACTTTATACATTTGTAAACAAAGTGTTTGTGGCTTATGCAATACGGTACTGGAACTCCCAAGGCAAGATGGAGGACGCAAGGACGTGATGTTTTTTTAGGTAACGTTAGCAGTAGCAGTTAGCATAGCTAACTACTGAGTGTTATTTTCAGCTCTGATTAATTGCAGCATGTCTTTGGTTGTTATTTGATTCATCTTCGGGTAAGCTCTGTAAACGACTCATTTCAGGGCGGAAGGCAGTTAACGTTACTGCCTGTGTTACTAAATACCGTCATTATGTACTAGCTACTATTAGCTTGCGCTTACGTTGTTTTGTTATTATGATCCAACTACGCTGACACCACTCAGCGCTGGCAAGTCCGATATCTAACGATATGTACTGTAGAGGCAGCGGCCCTTCTTGTCCAGCAAGTTGCATTTTGTTAGCACGGAGTAGTACATGCATGCTTAATCAGTTTTCAACGAGCTGTCGCTGGGGAAAGATGCCAAAATACTCGGCTGCATAGCTAGTTGAGTTAGCACCAGCAGCGCACCGGTGTCAATTTTGACAGGAACCGAGGAAGAGTGTATCCCTATCGGCATTGTTGGAGGGAACTGAACCGGTACTCTGTTGCATAGTTGACTTACAGGATTCCACGCAGTTAGTTTTCACCGTTTAGTTTTATCCAAAGTCGTATCTACTAGCTTCACAGTAACAAGTTTATGAGGTACACCGCTCGATTTGGCGCCACTTTTCCAGTCTACACCCATAGAACCCCTTCGTCTTGCTATGTAGTAACTTTATCCCCCTGACTATCACGGAAATAGGCACGTCAACAGATACTTAAACTGTTAACTACCCCGGTTGGGTTAAAACTCGAAGAACATAACTACCTTATACACAGCGTTGGTGACTTGGTGTATACCTTGGCCGAGTGTGCTCTGTCAGTAAATGTATTATCATTATTACACTGGATTTTGTAAGAAGTGGCAGGGGGAAACGTGCAAGTTAGACATGTAGCTGCGCAAATAAAGAACTTGAACTAATAAATGTTAGGGTTCATGAGACTCTCATTTTGCATATATCAGTTATTTACAGCGCATATTAAGAGAGAAGATCCCATGACACACTTGTATGTCATGACTGTGTATAAGGACTGAGAGACTCATCTACTGCATCAAGAGTGGATATATGAAGTGTGGAGATTGCCTTTTTAGGACCTAACAGTTGTTTTTGGAGTGCATTTATTGATTTGTTTTTGAATTGTGGACAAAGTAGGAATCCTAATTTTAAAAGTTGCATCTAATTAACTCTGGTCATATGCATTGTCAATTTACACATGACAACCATGCAATACTTTCTCCATGGCCTTCTTTAGCTTGTTGATGTTGATTCAGTCTTTTGATTGGTTGAGATGCGTGTGGGGCGGACAGGGCAGTGGCATATTTGGCCATTGAGGAAGACACTCCAATCTTTTTGCATGACGTTGTCTGTAGACCAGGGGGAGCAGAGGAAGAGAGGGAACCAATGGCTAGACAGCTGAGCATGACAGGATCATTTGTGGCCACCCCCTGTTACTATGTGAAACATTTTTTTTCTCTCTTTCTGAACAGCATCAAAGAAACTTTTTTTTCACTACAGAGGATGCCAGTTCTGCCAGCATATACACATTTGATGTTTGATTTTGTAAAATGTATTATTTCTGCTGTGTTTTATGTGTGTAATAAGCTCTCAAGTGCCATGTGCACTAAACTATTTTTAATATTCTAGGTCACATGCACCCTCTCCTGTCTTGTATTTTCTGAGGATCTCAAGTCAGTTATAAGTTGAAGTTATCCAGAAAATGTTGCAGAAATGATAGCACCAGAAATACCACCGGAGTTCTCCTATGCTCAGTAAGTGGACAGTTCCACTTTTTATTTACTATTAAGTCTGAGGTTGACATGAGTTTTAATTTGGGTGTCTGCTTGTGTCTACCAGGGATACAGACACTCGATTCTCTTCAGACACAGATTTCTCTGAGGATCCTGATGGAAGGAGTGCAAACCCAGCTAAAGGAAAGGTATAGAAAACACAGGACATTTTGTTAAAAAAAAAAACATGCTGATGTTTTATTTTATTTACAGATTATTTATGATATAGTTGTCTTTTCTAAATCTCTATGATAGTTGTCACACTTAATTATTCCTCATGGCTTGCTGATCTGATTCAGGGTGGAAAAAAGGGGAAGAAGGCAACAGGGGAGAAAGGCAAAGGTGGTAAGGGAGCAGGCCGGATAAATGGCCACCACCAGGAGAATGGCATGGAAAACATGATGCTGTTTGAGGTGGTGAAGCTGGGCAGGAGTGCAATGCAGGTATAAATATCTCTCTGTCTTTCTCTCTCTCTCTTTTCCCCAAGCATATTAAAAAGACTGGTGTTCTGTTGATTTCAGATTTTTAAGTTTATCTTTGTCCCTTATCCCTGTCTTCCTGCAGTCTGTTGTTGATGACTGGATCGAGTCTTACAAACATGACAGAGATGTTGCGTTACTAGATCTCATCAATTTCTTTATCCAGTGCTCAGGATGTAAAGGTATGTGTGCGTGTGTGTGTGTTTTAAGTCACTGGAGGAGAATGTTTGACTCTGTGTGCTTTACAGAAACTACTCAGGCATACTTTACTCTGTTCTCTGTGAGTCAGTCTCCTTGATTGCTTAGTAAAGGGTCTTCTGTTTAACCTCTCTGTGTTTATCAGGTGTGGTCAGTGGAGAAATGTTCCGCAATATGCAGAACTCTGAAATCATCCGTCGAATGACAGAGGAATTTGATGAGGTAGCGTCACATTTTCCACTACAATTAGTATCATATCCACCATAAACCTCCCCAGTGTTATTTTATATTAGATATCAACATTGGAATGATTTTATCTTCCAAGGACAATAGAACTTTTTGCAACTTTGAGACAGTGATTGTGGTAGCATGTCATCCTTGCATATACTGATGTTTTTCCCCCTTCTGTGCCCCTTATAGGACAGTGGTGACTACCCTCTAACCATAGCAGGGCCCCAGTGGAAGAAGTTCAAATCAAGCTTCTGTGAATTTATTTCGGTGCTAGTGCGCCAGTGTCAGTACAGTATCATCTATGATGAGTACATGATGGACACAGTCATCTCTCTTCTCACTGGACTATCAGACTCCCAGGTCCGAGCCTTCAGACACACCTCAACACTGGCAGGTAAGATGAACTGTGTGTATGAGAGAGGGAGAGTAGTGCATTTGAATGTCAGTGTTGGATTCCAGATACTCCATGTGTCCTGTAAAAGTACAGTGTAATGAGCTGTCGGAAAACTAGTCATCTAGGAGGGTATCTTTGGGGCAGTTTTACAGATTCTAAGGGCTCTTTC